TCTAGTACCTTAATCCACATCAGTATCGACTTATTCTCATTCTATAAACTTTATTTGTGACTGTATTGCCTGCAAAGCCTAAAATATTTACTATCTGGCTCTTTGCAGAAAAAGCGTGCCAACCCCTGCACTATTATATGCACTATTATATGTCTAATAGTTTTTTTTCTTTTCTTTTTAAAAGAAAAGGCATAAGATACTGTCTTAGTTCAGGCTGCTATAACAGAATATCACAGACTGATGGCTAAACAACAAACAACAAATTTTTTTCTTACAGTCCTGGAGGCTAGCAAATCCAATATCAGGGTGTCGGCATGGTTGGTTCTAGGAAGCGTCCTCTTCCTGGTTTTTGGATAACCTTTTCCTCCTTGTATTCTCACAGGGCAGAGAGTAGAAAGCTAGCTCTCTGGCCTCTTCTTGTAAGGGCACTAATCCGATTCATGAGGGCTCCACCCTCATGACCTAATTACCTCACAGAGGCTTCCCTTGCAAATACCATCACACCAGGGATTAGACTTCAACACAGGAATTTTAAGGGGACACAACATTCAGTCCCTAAATGATACTAGTAACTATGGTTCTAACGAACAGGATTATTTAAGTTGCTGAGACGAATTACAGATGACCACATGTTGCAAGGTTTCTGACATCCTCTCCTTCGATGTCGGCCGGCGTCGTGACTGCCTTGAACAATGGAGTACGGTGGAAGGGATGCTATGCCCGTTCCAGTTCGAGCCTTTAAACAAACTGGCAGCTTCCACTTGGTATCTGAAAGCTGAGCCATCACGAAAGAAGTTTAACTATCCCAGAACGACCACACGGCAATGCCCTGAGACTATCATGAAGAGGAGGGATCCACGAGCATCCTGCCACCACGCCAGGCATGACAGTGATGTCTTATACTCTCCGGATAAGCCGGCTGACGCTGAATACCACTGAGCCATACCAGCTGACATCACATGGAGCAGGAGAACCTTCCCAATTCCTGACTCACAAAATAATTAATCTAATCTACTATTAATACATTGTAGGAGCAATTTGTTTTGCAGCAATAAATATTAATAACTGAAACAGAATTTCACATCTGAAAGTGGGGAGCTGACACAAAAGCCTAAAACATGTGCCCTGGCTTTGGGACTGGGCAGCAGGCGAAGGTGGAAGGACTTCAGGGACAGCGTTGGTGAGAGACTGACCAGTGAAAAAGTTACTGGAGGCTGGAGGAAAGGGGATTCTTGTTACACGGTGGCAGAAAACTTGCCACCTGCAATAACAAGGAAGATAGAAAATGTACTTCTATGGATTCAGTGACCTAGACAATGAGCCATCAAAGCAGAACCTCGGAAGTGCCAGTTAGCTACTGCCAGTAGCCGCTGATGAAGAACGAGAGAGAGAACTGAAGAAAACATTTTAGATTATGGGCAGGATTTAGAAGAGATACAGAGGGCCCAGGACAGTGCCTTCTAGGCAACAAGAGCTTCTCAAAGGACTATATGGCTCCAAGACAAAGACTCAGGGCAAAGATGAAGTCAGGGGTGCCCATAAGACCTGTTATGGCATGGAAAGATTTAACGCATGTCTTATAGACCCTCTTTGCTAGACAAAAGGATTTCTAAGAACTCAAGAACATTGTCTCGCATCATCTTTACAGACAACCCAATGCAGAGAAGGGCCTGCCTCAAAAAAAGCAAGTGGCTTTTGTTAAATATATGTCAATAACATTCATACAAAACCCACAAATTTATTTAGAAATTCTGCTTGTGGAAGCACTGCCATCTCAGACTGAACAGGAAAGATACAGCTCAGTAGAGAAAAGCCCCCGAGGGCACCAACCGTCGGTGCACAGGAAGCAAGCTGCCAGTGCTGCTGCTGGCTGGACTTCAGAACCGCTGTGGACTAATGACTGCTATGTGTTTTCCATCTCCTTGTTTTTGGAAAGGAGTTTCTACGTCTGTTTCACTACCGTATGCTGGGTATGTGGCTCACAAGTAAAGCTACCTTTTTTTTTTTTGACCATTTTTTACTCACAGGTCTTCAGATTGAGAGTAACTGTACTCGAAGAACTGCAGCCCAAAAAACGCATCTGCACATAGCCCTGATTTTGGTAACATCATCTTAGAGTCTGAGCTAATGTCATAACGGGATGAGGCTTTGAGAAGGGATGAGTGTATTTTGTACGTGGAAGGAATATAAATAATTTTAGGTCAGAGGGTAGACTATGGCAGATTAAGGATGGCTGCCAATTCTTAAACACTCTTCCAATTGAGGGGTGAGCTCTGTCTCTCCTCCCTTTGCATCTATCTAGGCTGGGCTGTGACTGCCCTGCCCAGTGGAAGTGTGGCAGAGGGGCACTGTGCCAGTTCTGAGATGAGCTTTTAAGAGTACAAGCAGCTTTCACCTTAGCATTTGTGAGCCCTGGGCCATGATGTAAGAAGTCAGACTATCTTGCTAGAGAGAGTACATAAAATGACCCTGAGACCACAGAAAGAGGGAGAGGGGCCCAGCTTAGCTTAGCGCTCTAGCTACACTTGCCAGGATAGCAATGAAGCCATCTTGGACCCCTCGCACCAGCCTATCTGCCAGCCAGATAGCACCAAATGATCTCTGAGACAAAGGCACACGAATTAGGAAAATCACATCAGCCAAGCCTTCGCTTAATTCCTGAATCATAAAGTCATGAGATATAATAAAGTGATTATTTTAACACTAAGTTTTGGTGTGACTTGTTAGGCAGCAATGAAAAAAAAAGACCAGCAATAAAAAAAAGTATAAAAACATTGAACCTAACTTAAGATGAATTACCCAAACATACATACAAATTTTGATGGTTTACAAAGGCCTGTTTATAAAGCAGAAATTTATGAAATGCAACTCATTTTGGTCCAATAAAACATACCTTCCACATTTCCTTCTGCTTTCAGCCATCTCTGTGGAGATGCCTCCCTAAACTTTGGATTTATTGTCTCAACAGGAGAATCAACAGGAGTTGATGAGTTTATTTCATGTGAAATACACTGTACTTTGTCTTCTCCAATAATTAAAGGTTTGTGCTTTTCCCCTTCAGGAGAAATCTCTGTAAAAACAAAAAATGAACAACCATGCTAGTCCTCAAAATGAATTGAGTTTTACTTTTAATAACATTTAGAGCAAAGTTCAAAAAACTGCATTATTGCAGCAAGTAATTAATCACTGGTTAAGCTCTCTAATATACTAGAAATTAATAAATGATTAAGGTCTATGACAGTTGAATTTCATTTCAACTGTATCTAATTTCTAGGGTGGTTAACATGGTTTATCTTCTTTTTGCTTTTGGTAAAATTAATATGTATATTAGAATACTATTTTCAAAATTATTTATTGTTTTTCTGTTTACATGTAGTAACTCCTAGTTATTTCTAATTGCTTTGAAACTCTCCACACTTTTAATTGGTGCCAGGAGAGAACAGATTTACTTCAGAATAACTTACTGCAGTTATCTACGCCCAGGTCACTCCCATTCATTCCCTTCTAACTCACAATCTCCCCAAAGCTAATTCTGTCATAACTAATTTAGATGGTTTCTATATTTATATCCATAATCTTTCTTGAACTCCTGACCTCAAGCGATCCTCCCACCTCAGCCACCCAGAGAGCTACAATGACCGGTGGGAGCCACCGCGCCCGGCCTCTGCTCACCACTTCTATCAGCTGTGTTTTCCAATACTTCTGTCTGAAGTTGTAGTTCAGCTTCTCCAAGTATCTTTAGGACAGACTCTGTAGGGCTTTTCCCCCAGACTCTTCTTGGAGATCCACCAGGATCTAATTTAATAACCTCTCCCACTGTATGTTCTATGAGACAAAGGTACAAAGAAATAATTTTCAATAACGGAACGTAATAACGCTGCATTATAAGGCAGATTTTGGGTCTTTTATCCAATTGCTTCATGAGAAAAAAACGTGATATCACAAAGACTTTCAGGGAATGAATGATGAGTAATGGCAAGAAAAGAAGCAACTGATACTATTATAGCAATAAAAATATATCTAT